TGCAGTTTGGCTGGGACCGGTTTCGAACCTGCCACCCTTGGTATATGGGGCCGGCACCCTACTCAATGAGGCACAGGTGCTGCCCGATTACCAATTTTCAATTAGATAAAACTTTACAATTACAGTGTTTTTTACATGAACAATCTATTTGATCTTATAAAATCAATCCTATGGGATGCAAGATAGGAACTGTCAAGTATCTCCTTTTCTAACTTTGGTTCAGAAAAATAGTCTTTTGATGAGTAGATACTACAAACTCCAGAGCGCAAGTGACCACTTTTAAAGTTCCATGTTCTTTGTGACACCATCCTGTGCAGTCACATCTTACCGGGTGAAACTTTCATCCTGTAAGTTCAGCACAAGGTTGTCAGCAGTGAGATAGATACGATTCTGTGATGCAGCAATCTACAGGGTTAGGAAACAAGACAGATACCTACATTAAACAAAGACCTTGATCCCTGCCCTTGCAATTTAATAGCGCCTTAATGAAACGCATGTGGGTTAGGACCAGGGATACTGTGATAAGTAAGACATGGTTTCTGCTCTCAGTCCAGGATCTAGAGCAATGATCAACAACTAGGACGTCTTATTAACATAACAGAGACATGAACAAAAGATCAGGGGAGCTCAAAAAACAGTTCTCCACTAAGGGAAAAGTGTCAGAAGTGTTTAAGCAGAAACCGAAAGAGTAAGACGCTTAATTCTTTCACTTCCATTTGTGTTAACTGAAAACATGAGTAGTCTCAAGGAAGCCCCGCGACAGATGCTAGGCTCTCACACTCACTGTCTTGGAGATGTTTTGGGCTGCCCGGATCTTGCGAAGTTTGATGTAGCCAGGGTTCTTGCTCAGTGCTTCCCCAAGGTGAGCAGAATAGGGTTAAGGGTTCACACAGGGCAAGTCTCATCCCTGGCCCCATCATTATCACTCCCTGGCTCCAGTCCTCCTCTGGGCTGTCAGATCCAAGGTTACGCTCAGATGTCTCATGCTAGCCCTACTTTGGGCCCCACTTGTAGGCCTCCCTGCAGACTGCTGCCAGGAACTGGGGGCAGCAGCAGAATCAGAGGTGAGGCCAGTGTGCTATTGATCTGGCTTTACAGTGGGGAGCCAGCCTCAGGTACCCCCACTAAGATTTCAGATCCCCCACCCCTGACAAGGAACCAAGGGGCAGAAAGCAGAGTCGCATTCGCCTTAGTCTCATCAGCCAGCCTGTAAGGGAGGATAGGAAAGCAGGGTGCTCCAGGGCTGGGCTGAGATCACTCCAGAAGGATATCATTTTGGCAGCCTCAGCTTCTCCCTCAGCCTGCACAATCTTCTGCCGCTGCTCCTGCTTTGCTTTTTCCACCAAGAACTGGGCCCGCTGGGCCTCCTGCTGGGCTGTGGTGAGAGAGAGGAAGGGGATCCTGGATGTGCGGTGTCAGAAACCCCATCTTTGGAGTCTTTCGTCTTTCATCATCACAAAGGCCCTTTCTGGACTGTTCCTGTGACTCACCCACTTGTTTGGCCTCTACAGCAGCTGTGTACTCTCGACTAAAGCTCAGCTCTGTGATGGCTACATCATCCAGGATGAGGCTGAAGTCTTTGGCCCTCTCCGTCAGCTCCCGTCGGATCAATAGGGATACCTGGGGGTGGGGGTTAGGAGGGGAAGGAAGGGGTTGTTTGAAGGACTGGAGAACTTAAAGGAAGGATGTGTTGATCTGACCACCTGAATACTAGATCTCCTGAGAATGGCAGAAGCTAAGGTTCCTCACTGGAACATGAGTTGGAAAGGATTTGGTTCAATCATTTCATCTGATAGACGAGACAGCTGTATAGAGGTGACATGATTCCAGGTCACACTATTTTTTTTTTTTTTTTGAGACAAAGTCTCACTTTGTCACCCCGGGTAGAGTGCTGCGGTGTCATTGCTCACAGCAACTTCAAACTCTTAGGCTCAAACAATCTTCTTGCCTCAGTTTTTCGTTTTTATTTATTTTTTTTTAGAGACAGAGTCTCACTTTATTGCCCTTGGTAGAGTGCTATAGTGTCACAGTTCACAACAACCTCCAACTCCTGGACTTAGGAGATTCTCTTGCCTCAGCCTTCTGAGTAGCTGGGACTACAGGTGTCTACCACAATGCCTAGTTTTTTTTTTGCATTATTTTTGGCCAGGGCTGGGTTTGAACCTGCCACCTCCAGCATATGGGACCAGCGCCCTACCCTTTTGAGCCACAGGCTCACCCAGCTATTTTTTTTGGTTGCAATTTGGCTGGGGCAGGGTTCGAACCCGCCACTCTCGGTATATGGGGCCAGCGCCCTACCCACTGAGCCACAGGCACCGCCCCAGTTTTTCATTGTTAGCAGAGACGGGGTCTCGGTCTTGCTCAGGTTGGTCTTGAATTTGTGAGCTCAAGTGATCCACCCGCCTCAGCCTTCCAGAGTGTTAGGATTATAGGTATGAGCCACTGTGCCTGGGACACGTTAACTTCTCATTTCTCTGCTCTCTCCAAAACAATATGTATCTCCTTAGCTTCCTGTCAGGAAAACCTGACAAAAACTTATTTGCTGAAAATACAGGGAAAATCAAGACTTTGTATTTTCTCCTATGTTTCCTAATGCTGACTGCTATGAGTTTTAGTACTGGCTCTCCTATTTCTCACAGGGATAATTAGTAAAGCTTTTAGGGTGGAAATGGGACTAAAGTGACAACCTTTTTCTAATAAACTGCCTTTTGCTAATATGTAGTACCCTGGGCCTAGGAGGGAAGTGCTGACAGCATGCAAATAGTGAATGGAGTCAGACCTGGGCCCGCTGAGTGATCAGCTGTGAGGCATTGAACTTGGCCACCACACTCTTGAGCACCTCGTTGACAATCGACGGCAACACTCGTTCCTCGTAGTCTAGCCCTAGACGCTGATACATGCTAGGAAGCTCCTGGGCATTGGGCCGAGACAGCACTCGCAGGGAGATGTTCACCATCTGCAGGTCTGAGGGTGAGGTCAGCA